TTCCATGTCTTGCTGAAGACAAAGAAGTCTGGGCTCTCCACATCTAGATCGTCGTACTGGCCATGCACAAGGAGATCGTTGTGTTGCTTGCGTACTTGCAGCATGCGCTTCCAGAAAGCGAGCACGGAATCTTTATCGCCTTTTTGTTGCGCGACATTGCAGACCTTTGCATCTTCAAGAGGTCGCATCCACGGTTCCGCGGTAGCGTCAGGCGGCGAGAAGCCGTTGTGCGTTGCGGTCGACCAGCTCATCGGCACACGAGCATGGTCTCTAGCGAGATGCTGAAGCGACTTATGCGCAGCTTCAAGAGCCTTGGGGTCGTCTTTTGTCCGCGCAGCTACCATCTTGTAGTAGTTTGTCGAGTCCACGTCCTTGTACTCGCTCATATCCCAGGTCAGAGGGAAGTTCGTCATGCCAATCTCTTGGCCTTGGTAGATGAACAACGTGCCGCTGAGTACTGCCATCATCAATGCGAGCATTTTACCGCCTGCGACACGGTGCTCGGGCGCATCGGAAGTAAAGCGTGTGATTGATCGACTTTGGTCGTGGTTCTCGAGGAAGACGGTTGTCCAGCCATCTGAGGGGGCGCGAATGAGGTCTTGCGTGCGGGCCATGGCACGTTTGAACTGTGGGAGTGTCCAGTTCTTCGGTGTAGTTTGGAACTTGTAGGGGCCTTGGCCGACGTCGACGACATCCTGTGCTTTTATTTAGTACTGCCGATCTCTTGTTTTTGCGCTTCTCGGGCTTGCTCACAAATTGGAAGACCATGTTCAGTTGCTTCTCTTTAGCACTAACATATTCCAACACTCTCTTCATGTCTGGTGTGTGGGGGCACTCGCCGACGGTCATAGCATCATACTTCTCCAAGATTTGGTTCATCTCGTTCAGGAATTCAGCCATCCTTGGGCCGTTGCAGTACTGATATCCAGCGAACTGCCATTCCGAACCAGGATCGGTGATCGGTGCATCAAGCATCTCACCTTTGCTGTACATGTTGACGGTATCAACGCGGAATCCATCAACTCCTCGCTGTAGCCAAAACTCCATGGCGGATTTGTAGATGGCTTGTCGTGTTTCTGGGTTTTCCCAGTTGAGGTCAGGTTGCTCAGGGCAAAAGAGATGTAGATAGTATTCTTGGGTATGCTCATCCCACTCCCACACACTACCTGTAAAGTTGCCGACCCAGTTGTTGGGAGCTTTGCGCTCGCCGTTGACATAACGAGCTGGTCTCCAGATATACCAGTCTCTCTTGGGGTTGTCTTTTGATGATCGTGATTCTAAGAACCATTTGTGCTTGGATAAGTCAGTTTTGCAGGGTTGTGCCGAGTTACACCTTCAAGACTTACCTGGTCAGATGTATGGTTGACCACCAGATCCAGTATAATCTTCATGCCTCGCGAATGTGTCTCGGCGATCAGCTTCTCCATGTCTTGGACAGTACCATACGGCCTGTACACATCCTCATAGTCACGGATGTCGTATCCCACTGTTGGAGTGGAGGGTCAATATACATCCCACGTGCAATTTGTATAGAGGTAATGCTTACTGTCTACTTGGGGTGAATCGTACATGGGACAGATCCAAATGACGTCAACACCAATGGAACGGATGTAGTCCAACTCTGAAATGATGCCATTGAGATCACCAACGCCGTCGCCATTGGAGTCTTTGAAGGAAGCGGGGTAGATTTGGTATACAACACCATCTTTCCACCAAGGTCTTTGAGGAACGGTCATGGTGTTGCTGCTGGATATCCGTGCTCTTTGGGGCAATTTTGAACACCCTGGTATGACAGATGGTGTATAGTGTCGAAGAGGTCAAGCGTTTCTTTGGTGGCTTGCAATGGCACCAGTGGCTTTCTTATAAGCGTCTTGCAATAGGATCTTATCAGATGGAGGGTAGTCGTTGAGATCTGGTCACTGTGTTTGGACCGCACGTGGAGGTTCCCCCCACCGGAAAGTTTCTCGGTACAATGACGATTGGCTCAAAGCCGGATCGTGTCTGCACATGGCGATCCCCACACAACCCAGCAACAGTCTTCCCCACAGATGTCTTCCATCGCATGGTGTTTCAACGTTCTTTCCCGCGTGTCCGATATTGCGGGATTTAAGCGAGGATGTATGCGGGGAGATGATGGGTGCGACAGGCTATCGATTCATGCTCTCGGTCCGAGATGAAAGGCAAAGCGCGTTAGCGGGAACGCTCAGTCGCATTTCCGTGCCACACGTGATGGTTGCTTCGGCTTTTGGGGCTCGTGCACGCAACCTTGAAATCTCGGTCCGGCATCTTGTCGAATCACGACCTTCACTCCTGCTCCGAGTTTTCGATGGCACACCCGTGTCGGCGGGCCTCACCAGCAACAGCCTAGCCTTTCAAGCCATAGTGCTGCGCGATGAAGATGGCCTCACAGCTGCAAGAGTGGCGTCCTCCCCGCATCCCTTGACTGCCTCCACCATCCCCGGTTTCTGACTTGGCACGAGCGCTGTCTATGCATGGGTATCGCGTGTCTAGGGTCGTGAAGTTGTATAAGTAGAACGACGGTATCCACCACGAGAGATCACCATCCAGCTTCGAGTCCCACCAGGTCCACGTTTAGGAGAGGTCTGGGTCTGACCCACAGCATCCTACTTCATCCTTTGGACATACCCACATTTGTCAAGCCACCTGGACATCGTCTCATCCTCGGACACGACCATCATGTCTCGCCGCAACAGCAGTGTCGTCGCTATCGACGCCGAACAGGCACGACGCCTTTCACTCGCCGTCACGGACATCAAACAAGTCGCCCACGATGCCGGCAACGCGACTCGATCAGAGCAGCAGATGACCCTGCGCCAGGGTATCAAGTTATACCCAAAGGCCATCGCCTGGTCTGTCCTGCTCTCCGCAGCCATCATCATGGAAGGCTTCGACAAAGTCTTGATCGCCAACTTGATGGCGGTACCTGCCTTTAAGCAAAAGTTTGGCGAACAACTTGCAGATGGCACCTTCGAACTCACCGCTGCGTGGCAAGCGGGCCTCACAAACGGTGCATACGTTGGAGAGTTCACAGGTCTGCTCCTGAACGGTCTTATCGCGGATCGTTTCGGCTACAAGAAGACAATGATCGGCGCGCTCTTCGCTGTGAATTTCTTCATCTTCATCGTCTTCTTCGCGCAGAACATCACCATGCTTCTATGCGGTCTCATCCTATGCGGTATCCCATGGGGTGTCTTCCAGACCCTGACTTGCACCTATGCTGCCGAAGTCGTACCGGTGCCGCTTCGTCCAATTCTTACAACATACGTCAACCTCTGCTGGGTCATCGGTCAATTCCTCGCCTCTGGCGTTTTGAAGGGTGTAGCCGAGCGCCCCGACCAATGGGCGTACCGCATCCCATATGCCCTGCAGTGGCTCTGGCCTCTCCCGTTGATGATTGGCATCTCGTTCGCACCTGAATCTCCCTGGTGGCTTGTACGGAAAGACCGATGCGAAGAAGCAAAGAAGATGTTGATGCGCCTCACATCACCCGAAAAGCTGCCCGACTTCAACGCCGATGAGACCATTGCTATGATGCGCCACACCAACGCCATGGAGATGGCGGTCTCTGAAGGTACTTCGTACTTGGACTGTTTCAAGGGTACCGATCTCCGCCGAACTGAAATCGCCGCCATGGCATGGTTTACGCAGGCCTTCTGCGGAGCAGGTCTTATCGGTTATTCGACATACTTTTTCCAACAAGCAGGCCTTAGCGACGCGGATGCGTTCTCCATGAGTTTAGGACAATACGCAATTGGTGGCGTGGGTGTCTTCATGGCCTGGATCCTCATCCAACGTGTAGGACGCCGCACATTGTACGTGTATGGCGATCTCGCCATGGTTATGCTGTTGTGTATCATCGGAGGTCTCGGTTTCATTCCAGCCGGCAACGTTGGCGCGCAGTGGGGTATCGGCGCCATGCTCCTGCTTTTTGCAGCCGCATACAACTGCACGGTCGGACCTGTCTGTTACTCCATCGTTGCAGAGATTCCATCCACTCGTCTTCGCCAAAAGACTGTCGTCTTGGCCAGGAACTTCTACAACATCGGTTCTATCATCGGCAATGTTATTACTCCACGTATGCTCAACCCCGGTGCTTGGAATTGGGGCGCAAAGAGTGGTCTTTTCTACGCCGGAACGTGCTTTTGCTGCTTTATCTGGGCGTTCTTCCGTCTTCCCGAGCCAAAGGGCAGGACCTACGGAGAGCTCGATGTCCTCTTCGAGAAGCGTGTCCCGGCTAGGAAATTTAGCAGCACGGTCGTTGACAGCTTCCATTCCAGTGATACCGAGAGCGACTATACCGAGAAAAAGGGTGTCTCGGCCCATCTTGAGCAGGTCAACTCTAGGGATGCTATTTGAGCTGTGAGATCCGCCACGGAAGCTTTATGATTTGTAAATATTATGTGTGACGAATTATCGACTTGTCGTAAATAGAGGATGTATCTTTCATCGTAATAGAATATATTTCTGCAGATGCTAGTGTGCTGTGATCTTACGCGGCCTCAAGCTTTGGTGCGGCAGCAAGCCACGTGCGATTGTTGAGTCTACTGTGGAATTAAAGCAAGAGGGGGCTCGCCACAATTGCCCATTTGCGGTCCGGCCTAGTCACGATTCAATAGTGGGGTACATGGGCCCGGGAGCGGTTCTTGCATTCCTTGCTGCTCGCTTACTTTCCCCAAACACAAACGTGGCGTTCCCTTCTTCCCATCATCGATGTAGGTGAGAACTTAGCAGTGCGGGTCCGGACTGCGTCGTATCACCACCGGGCAATTAGTCATCATTTCTCGAAATGCCCAATGTTGGCAGACCTTCTCCAGGTTGCAAGACATGTAGGGACCGCAGGATCAAAGTATGTAATGCACGCGTGAGTAGATACTTGGTCCACTAATCCGCTGTTCCAGTGTGACCAGAAGCGGCCTTCCTGCTCGCAATGTCTCCGTGCCGGCAAAGAATGCCATGGATACCGCGACGTGGCTTCCCTAATGTTCAAGAATGAGAGTCGCGTCGTGGCAAAGAAGGCGGAGCAACGTTACGAAGAGCTTGCCAAATCAAAAGAACCAAGAACGCCTTTGGGACGTGGAGAACCCAACAGGATCAGAAGCGTGCAGCGGATCTATCCGGTGCAGAGTCCGCCCAAGGCTGAGATTATGGCCTTGCAACCCACGCCGAATATCGACGCCCAAGCGCAAGGCTTCTTCCTCACCAACTATGCAGGCGCCGCCGATTTCCCTCAAGGAGGCCAATTCGAATGGATTCCCCAGCTGCTGTCACGGCCGAATATCGAGGGTACGCTTCGTGAGAGCTTCCGCGCCCTAAGTCTAGCAATCTTCGCCAATGCAGCGAAGTCCCCTGCCGTCATGCGAAAAGCGCGTGTCGCATACGGTTCTGCATTAGAGGAAACAAACAGAGCGCTCATGTCGCACGAAGCCGCGGTCAAAGATAGCACTTTGGTTTCGGTCATCCTACTTGGCATGTACGAGGGCACGGTATACACGGATAAGAGCTCCATCGATAGGTGGTCAAAACACGTCAGCGGCGCTTATACCCTCTTCATGTTACGCGGCAAGTCGCAGTTCGAGACAGAACTCGGACGGCGAATATTCCAGCAGTCATACGGCGTCGCTCTATTCTTCACGCTTGAACTAGGGACGGGTATTCCAAGTTAGTCACAACCCTGTGCGGACTGCATGTAATACACGAACTGACATCGCACACCAATATCTAGAACATTTGCAAGAGCTGTACGACAGCATCCCCCTCGAATCGGGATTCAACGAGCTTGTTAAAAAATTCATGATCGGCATTCTGCACGTCATGGACGCAGTCGTCAAACTCGGTCAAGACAAGAGCCGAGATCCCGTGGAAACAATCAACCGCGCGAGAAATCTCAGTCAAGAGCTAGAGGATATCAAGGCTCTTTTGCCTGCAGCCTGGCATCCAACAAGGGTTCATCTTGATGTACCTTCAGTTCATTACTGTGGAAACATATACAGCATCTGCCTCTTTCCCGTCATGGCGCAGTTGTGGAATTACACCCGGTTTATTGGAATTCAAGTGCACGATATCATCAGAGCAAACCTGATGAGGGTTCGTGAGGAACAAACTTCCCCGCTCTACGACGCTGCCAGTTTGAAAGCGTGCATACAGCATGAGGAGAATGTGCTACGAGCTAACGTTGCCGCAATCGTTGCCGCAGTACCTCAGACGATCGGCATGGTGCCATCCCCGGTGTTCTCTGCTGCTGGATTGGCCCCCGAAGATGAAACAAAAGATGGACCTATCATGAGAGAACCGGGGACCTTTATCGATTCAGTCATCTCACCGAGACTAATGCAGCTCGTCCAGCCACTGTATGCAGTGGGTACGTGTTTGCTTATTTCGCATCAGATGCGGCAATGGGTCATTGGCATTCTCCATTTTGTTGCATTGAGGATTGGATCAAGACAGGCAGTCGTGCTCGCAGCTGAGCTGCAAAGGCTTCAAGAGTCAGCACCGAGTGTAGCACACGGCTGGCAAGACATAGCCGAGTGGCTCGCGCTGGGTCCTGGGGTAATATAGCTGTAAACGCAGAGCACAGCCCAGCAATGATCTCAACACCACGGATCGCGACTGGCAATGATGAGCAGACAAGCGGAACAAAATATGATCTCGCACCAAAAAACTCTTTTGCGCTCATACGCTCACAATGAGACTTGTAGTAGGACTTCTTCTTCAAGGCCTACAAGTCTTTCTTGTCATTCCTTGAGGCTTCACCAAATCCCACCCTTGCCATGAATGCTAGTCTGACCAGCCCTGCAAACGCTGTAATGCCTATACTTCCCCAATCCTCCGCCCGCCAGGTGCCTACGCTTAGTCTGCCCTGCTTTGCCAACACCTCCCAGACTGCCCAATAGTATGCCAGATCGACAACGAAGCACGACAACTGGACAATGCGCCAGACGTTCATGTCGTTTGTGTATCGTAGCAGGACAGCAGACATGATGCCGAAATTTAGCATGCCCCCGCCACGTTGCTTGAGGATCATGGCGTGGCCGATGTCTGGGGTGGGGGAGGGGATGTGTGATGAGAGGACGACGGTGGGCATGAAGAAGTCCATTGTTGCGCCCCAAGCGCAGATGATGGGGTCGAGGTATGTAAAGAATATGCGATAGAATGCAGGTATAGAGGGTGCCGTGGGCTGAGACATGATTGCCGCTCGGTTGCAATGAATAGCTCTAATTCGATGAAGAGATGCGGACAGTGTATCGAGTAACGATAATCTGCGTGATGGTGTGGATGGTATGTGTGATGCGTGTCCTCGGTGCTTGAGCAGATGTCAGCTTTGGACCCCGCGCCAGTGGGTCTAGCTGCTTCTGTGCTGCATTGATGGCACAGAAGACTAGGTCGCTTGTGACTAGACTCGTATACCAACAAACCCGTGCTGCAGGCCTGCTGCACTTTGAATCCTTCAGCTTCGATCTTCTGTTGTGGTGACGCGTGAGGTCGACTACCACAGCATCGCAGCCTGCCGTCCGTGCCTGCCTGCTACCTAGATGTTCTCCATCGCACAGAGATGGCCCCATCTGCATAACACATCGCGTTAATTTGGGCGAGGCAGCAACAATCGATGCTTCCAACAACTTCTGATCGGAGCCGGTCCCGTGTGGTGGATCCCCAGGCTGCTAGCGCGGATCCCGAGTGTTGTGCCTGGGATCCACGGGCGCCGTCACGCCATGACCTAACACAACAGCTGGAAGCCGTTGCAGACATCCACGCCTCGCAAACATTCACCCATTCCAAGCATGAACACACTGCGCCGCTCGACTTTGGGGGCTTGTCTCAATCTGTGACAACACCTCGTACCTGTTAGATCTTCATTGTTGCTCGTCCGGGGCCGTTCCGTCTCTTGCACTCGCACGGCGGTTAGTCGAAACTGCTGAATGGACGCGTCCATGGCTCATGCAAGCGGCGCCCCATCGATTAAAAATATTCCCGAAAGCCATCCTGACGACATGGAGCTTGTGATCGCATGGCAGAGTTCACGTCCTCGTCGTAGCCCGCTGCGCGAACGGTGAGGCTGTGGGTGCAGACGGGCTTCGCGACGCGACCTGACCCTCAAACCCTCGGAACCATGATGGATGCACACGATGCATCCACCAGCGATGGCACGCGCTCGACACCTGGGCATTTCCACAGCCCCCAAAGCCGTCGCTACTGCTAGTGAATTACGTCGGTGTAACACAGTCTCGAGCGCTACCTGGCTACCTAGGTCGTTGATGCGCGGCCCAAGGCATCCTCAACAAAGTGGACATCATCAGAATGTGCCACGCATGAAATAGATGTTTATGCGGTCAGAAGCTTAACTCGAAGCGTATTACTCCTTTCATTCCAGTCAGCCTTATAACGGTTCGAGGTCCAGATATTGACTGGTAGTTACAGGGTTTGCGCGCGCCGTACATCATGGCTGAGTAACGTCAGTTCTCGCTACTCCACCACTACGGACCGATGCTGCCTACGACTTGAGCAAGTTCACCAGGCTTGCTATTACGTTAATTATCCCTGGCAGCGAAGCTTCTCGTGTACAGCGTGTCGGCACGGATTCGGGTTTGCATGGGAAGTAGCATTCCTGCTGCAAGCTGGATCACGAGCCTCGCCTCCGCTGCGGTGCGCCAACGCCGTGCCTTGCATTATCACTGCGACTCAGCCTGCGATAGCTGAGCTTGACCATTTAGCGGCATTTCTGAGATTAAGGTCCGGCGGCAAAACGAGATAATTCTCTGGAGAAGGCAATTCCTTGATCGTCGGCCGCCCCTAATTTAACCGCGTCGGGTTAAAGCTTTCATCGCTTCGCCTCAAGCAGACTGGGCATTCGGTCTACCGATGCAATGTCATTGGTGCACAACGAGGAATGCTCGTGAACAAGTGGGTATTATGACAGTTATGCTGGCCAAAAGCAGATGATTGACGCGATAAAGACACCAACGTGCACGGAATCGCGGCAAATGTCCGTGGTCACCCTACCGAACTCGCTCTAGTAAGCCAGGCAGTACTGCGGCGTTGACAGATTTCCTGCCCTACTTTCGGTTCTCCCCGAGCAAGCCACATCCGCTTCACACGTACGAATGCCTTACGGCACGGAAGGCCTACTCGTTAAGCGCCGTCGTGAGATGGAGGACATGCTCTGCCTACACGATGGATCAACTAAGATGGTGGCGTGGAGCTGGGGGAGTTGGTTTGATATATAGCTCCTTACTGGACTTTTAGTATGAAAGTACCCCATAACGAAGATTCTCCATGTCAGCAGAGCAATTCTCAAAGCTCTCTCTCGGAGAGGACATGGTTACCACTCGTGCCGGGGCCGCAAGGGCCGCAAGAGCTAGTACACAATCATCAGGGCATTCTGAGGAAGATCAGCCCATACCATCCGTCGAGTCCACCGTTTCCCCTACGCCTTCCCTGGTTATATCAACGAAAAACCTTCATTACAATGTCTCGGCCTTCGACACCGACCTACGAAGGCGGGCCAAAAGAGGACTGGAAGGTAGCGATATCAGGCTCAAGTACTGCGCAGTCTCGGAAGATGATTACAGCCCGAATGGCAGCCCAAAGAAGTTCTTCCATCTTGACGACGACATCATTGTGGCGATGGGGGGAAAGTTACGAAGACCTGAGTGTACGTGTGGCGCAAACGAAAAGGGTCTCGCGTGCAAGGTACGCTCTCGCATACACAACCATTGACGCATCACTAAAAGTAGCCCAAGCATATCTATTGGGTCGGAGACCAGATCATCTCAACTTCTCCAGACGATATGGTCAAGACGCCTCTTCACCTTTCTCCCGATGGCTCGAAGATCGAAGACGTCAAGCCTGCGGAACTACTGGACACCAAAGGCTTAGCCAATATCGCCAACGACCTGAAGTGGGTTTATCGGGATGACAATCTGCCTGAAGACGACGACTTGAAGTTGACAGTCATTGACATGTTCTCGTGCTACGAGCCACAAGATGCACTTCCTGGAGAGTTTCGATATCCCGAGTCGCCTCTTACTTCCGAACGGTCCAAGAAGTACCAGGAGTTGACAGAGCTCTTTACGCAGTACGCAAACTGGTATCCCAGCCTATATCTCCAAATGCGCAAGATCATCGACCCGGACTTCGAAAGCCGTGTCTTCTTCGAAAAGATCGACAAGCGCATTACTTCCACCTTCGACGCTTTGGATGAGTACATAGCCAAGGGACCATACAACCTCTCTCAAGGCCCCCCTCGGTTCGACGTCTCCAGTTGTGCACAGAAGTTGACATCACTAGTCAAGGCCATTGGTGACTTCTATCAACGCCATGCTGGCGTCGAGGACGTGGCCGTCCGAGCAGCGGCGGCTTTTGTTACGATTCTCGACCGTGTTACGGACCGCGATAAAAATGCATATGAAGGCGTCAAGTGGAGTGTCATGGAGGCCCTATCAGACCCTGTTCAAAGCAACCTATACGTTGCGCTGATTGGAGCAGCATCAGATGACGACCCGCCATTTGTTCTCAATGCACTCGGGTCATTGCCCCATGAAGACGTATACCGTAATCATTGGGCAATGCTACAAGACATCGAACGCAAGCTAACAGATTCTCATGCGCCCACTCATTACATGGCTCTCTTCCGCAATGTCGTCTACGAGAATCGCAAGAGGTCGGGTTCGGAGGTACACGAACGAGAATCGAAGCGAGCAATGCAGTAATGTCGATCTGCAAGCGGACTACCTCGTGCTCGACACAACAGTTGAGTTGGTATGTAGTCGTCCCACTTTTCCTTTTGGTCTGGCGTTGGCGGTTTTTTGCACTTTTTCCATTCCTTTCTGTGTGACTTTTTGCACCTTTTAATACCTTCATGTCTTTCCTTACGACGTTACGGCTGTCCGCACGCTAGTTGAATTCTTCATTTGGATACTCAAGGTCGCCGGACTTCGGTCTGTATTCGCTGGCCTTTTTTATGTTGCTTTCTGTCTTTCCTTCAGGCCACCCGATTTCGGTTTTTGGGTAACCGAATGATTCTATATATCTCCGATTCTTTCCTTTGCCTTTTCTTTGACCGGTTGCTTGCGGAGCTTTTGATGTTGCCGTACTTTTAGCCGGGTACAATTGGTGTACCACTTTCTCTTCTCTACACTCCTTGTATCCATAATTTACACAAACACATTTATACAGCTGTCCATCGTTGGCGCCTTACGCTGCAAATCCATCATCGTCCGCATAGTGCGAAGTAGAACGAGCTCACTGAAATTGAAAGGTCAATGCGTGATTGGTTTCAGCATAGTAAACATAAAAGCGGTGGAGTGCGCCCCCTAGACTGCAGGCCTCAGCTGATACCGGCTCCGCATGCATACAGTGCCAAGCTCCGATATGTAGAATGATTCCGCGGAATTGGGAGCGTGGCCGACGGCTGACTGACTCAAGACGAGACCGGACCGAACGAAGTGGATCTGGCGCAGTTCGTAGCTGAGTTCCGCATGCTGTAGGCTCTCGCGCTTGGTCAAGCGCCAGAGACAGACTGTCCCCATGCACCATGAGATCCATGTATCTATAACACTAAGTGCTAGACCAAGCTTCATCTCGGTGTGGATGTCGGGAGTCTGCATCTTGTCGCATACAAGACAACAGGTCGGCACCGGAGGTCCACAGCAGCCAATCATGCATGGCCCAGTTGCATGTCGTACAACGACTCTGTCATCTATACGTGTAACTGGCCGCTTATCCAAACGCTAAGTTCGTGGAACCCATCTGGCCTACACACGATGTGGCCCAAGTGGGTGTCGTTCATGTTGCGTGCATTTGGGCTTCGAGATGGTGGGTGTTGCTCCGGTGTGGGAATCAAGAAATCCACAAACTAGCGACAAACCTTCCCCTTCTGCTCGCGCTCACTGGAATGGCGCATATGACGCTTACTGTATATTCCCCGCAGTATGCGACGTCTTATGGAGGCTGCTTTTGTCAGAAGTTCCGCAGGCTCCGCACAACCTGGACCTGCATCCAGGACCCGGCACCCCACAGAAGGCGGTTGCATGTAGCAGACACCCGCTCCGGGAAGATTCCGAACAGATGCGGACATGATGTAGGCGCCGTCGGTTCGATCTGTGCAGAGCAAGTGCCATGACTATGTACACATGGACTTAAACATGTGAAGCACCCAGGTGGCGAGATAGCTCATACCAAGCTCATGCTAGCTAGGAACTTACCGTGTCGGTGCTGATCGCGATAGTCGTTGTGGGCACTGAGGGTGGGTCAAAGGGCTCGACTGCGGGGAGTGCAGCGGCTAGGCTCGAGTTGCCCTCGAATGTGGTTGGATGTCAGATGAAAGGGCCACGCATCGTGCATCCACGTTCTGCGGGGAAGGGATTGACGCTAAGCCGCTCGCGGCCCTAGCGCAGATGGGCATCCTTTGGCAAGCGCAGCCAAGCCACCCAGTGTTGCTTCCATATTACTCTCCTGTCTATCATTCCTGCTCCTCTTCTTTTCGACCTTCTTCTCTTGTCTTGTTGCAACATCGGACACGTGTTCTGCTAGTCTATCCTATCCTACGCGGTTTCCCTGCGGCCAACGTAAATCGCTTATCACGCCATCAACCCCCGCTGACTGACGTACTACACCCCGTCCGTGCGCCTAGCGACTTATCAACCATCCCACCCCTTGTTTTGTTTCTCTACGCACCCCATCTTGATTTGCTCTACGCGCATGACCCCTCAACTCAATTGAGCACTTCACACAGACCCTGAACCTCCCTCAAACCTCGTTGCCACGCCCATCATGTCCTCCAACGGCCGGAACTCTCCCCCGCTCGCCTCGCCGGACCCTCGCCGACGTGCTTCAGTGACCAGCCAGACGTTCCAGGACCTGTTCGGCCGGTCAAGCGGCTATGTAGGCCAGCAATCTGGAGGACAGGCTGCCACGGGCCCCATCACGACAGCTGCTGCCAACGCTCAGAGACGGCGGCTTTCGCTCACCACCATCGGTCTGGGTGCTTCACCTGGCCAGACGTCCCCATTCCTCCAGACCCCGCGAACCCGAACCGAGAGCATCTCCAGCGCCAACTCTGGCTCGGTCGACGAGAGCCCCTTCGAAGATGACTACGCCCCTTCCACATCTGCTAGCAGCAGCAACCCAGCCACACCCTTTGCTCGACGGCTGAGCTTCGGAGCTCGTGCAATGCGGGATGTTAGGCAGAGCAACGGAGGCGTTGGGAACCCAAATGGTAGACCACCCATCCATAAAGCTTCCTCTCCCCCGACTGGTCGAGGTCGAGGTCTGTCTTCATTGTCACAGTCATTGCCCTCTTCCGCTACCCTGCTTCGTCCCTTTACCCATGCACACTCGCGGCGATCTACTTCCATATCACACATCTGGCCCTCCACCATTGCAGAGCAGTCCGAGAACATACTTGGAAACTACTCGCTAACGTCGTCTTCAACAGGCGAAGGTTACAATTTCGCTGAGAACCTCCGATCGCGAGCCGAGCGAGGCTCCATCTCCGGGCCCCCTCCCATGCTGAGCCCTTCCGGTCCGACCCACCAGCGTGCTAAGAGCGTTACGATCATGGAGCCACCCGTTCGTGAGATGCCCAAGCCTAGGGTGCCTGATGCCATGCAGGAGCGGATCCTCAAGGGCGATTTCTACATGGACTAGCTTCTCTACGTGACTTGACATTTCGATCTCCGGTAGGTGATCCCGTTTACATTCTTGCTTTGTAGTGGCTAATCTCCGCGATCTATAGGACATCTATCTCATAGATGAGACGTCAGACTCCTTCACAATCGTGTATCAGTACTCTACCGCCTACGAAACGGAAACTTTCATACTCCAGAACAACCTTATACCAGGCCTTCGTATCGCTCATGGGCATGAGCGATCGAAGGATTATAAAGACAGCTTTCGTGGAAACCAGGCACGTAACGGCGATTACTGCACCTGGCACCATCATAACTCGGAAAGCATCGTCATGTGCAACTATCACTACTGGAAGCATGCACTACGATCGTTCTACCAACGTCTTTTTCTGCCGACTTGGGCAGATTGCATTCCACGACGTGGACTTTATGGCGTTTTCACCTGATTATCTCGAACTCGTATTTCATGTTCCATCAGTTCAGGCGTACGGTCACGATGAATGAACGAAACCAGATTGTCATGCTCACGCGATGAGGCTACATCAGTGCAGCAGGGGTTAGGAGTTTATGAAGCATATCACGCAGGATGGAGGTCAGCACCTTTGGTATCAAACATGTACCAAGACAAATTGCAGATAGCAAAGCAGTTTAGTGCAGCATCGTACAAAGAAATGAATAATTGACCAAACTGATGCTGGCATCCCTTGCGCTTAACGGTGTGTTGGTATGCGTCATCAGTCCCACTTTATGTTTCAAGTATACTGATCGACGTTGGGTCGTACGCGTGGAGGAATGTGGAATGTCGATCGTTGAGTCCACCTGAGCTGATAACGATTGGACGTGCTGCATGTCTGGCTGCGAAACAACATGGGAACGCGAGTGCAAGTCAAGATATCGCTCGCACAGCTCTACCAACGCTACCGGTCTCAAAGAGTTCAACTAAGCCAGCACCTAGACATTCCTCCAAGACCCACTCAAACCTCATCCCATAGAATGTCTTCCATTTCTTCGTTCGCCCAGGTAGTACGCCTGCAAACTCGCCCCTCAATTTCTTCCTCTCCGCTTTGATATCATGCGCCGCGACATTACCGTCCCATCTCTCACGCAGGACATCAAGTGACATCTCTCTATGCTTTGTCTTCTTCAGCAGAGTGAGTAGGTGGTTCCGTGCATCAACCAGCAGCTTAATGTGTGTGCCCATGTTGGGCAGGGAGAAGTTGTACTGTGCTGCTACGGATGGGCGGGATCCAGATAATGAAGTGCCGCCGTGGATGTGCTGGGTTGCTTGCGTGCCGCCGACGGCGTCTAGAGAACCGGCTGCATGGCGGGATCCGGATGTGGAGACGGCGAGGAGTGAGCTGGCGCCTGGAGAGGCGAAAAGCGAGGTGTTGGAAGGGTAGCTTGAGGCTGAGGTGAGGAAGCCAAAGGTTACTAGGGCGGATAGCTGGGGAGAGGTGAAGGTTGTGCCAGGGATGGATGTAGATGTCGGGTTGGCGTTCATGGCTGTTGTGTATTTTTCTGATTCCACTTTAGTGACAGATGATATAGTGGTTGGTAAATTTGATTACCTTTCAGATCTTCAGGTAGCTCAGCATGAGATTGCATGAGGTTCTGCCACTCTCTCACCGAAGCAATACCATCACCCACTGCAGCAGCACCAACCCCCCGATTCGGTATCGTCACCCTTCTCAGGATACCTGCTCTGGCTAGCTCAGCAATTTCCCGCTCAATCCGCGTTGACGAGGTGCTGAGTGCGTCGATATGCGCTACCGTGACAAACGGTGGCAATCTTCTCCGGAAATTCAAAACCTCTGCTATCCTGGTCGAGTTCATACCGGCCTTCTCTGGCATGTCGCTAAACATCCTGTTGCGGATGTACTCCATGTACTGTGGGACATCGCGAAAGTTTAGGTCATCGGAAAGAGAGGCTATCACACCGGTATCATCTAGTTCCTCGTCATCATCAAAGGGAGTGGTAGTGTCGTTCGGTAGCGACCGCCTCTTTGAACTCGCTGCTGAGGGTGATGAAGTTGTTCGTTTGAGACCCAGTGATGCGACGGCACTTTTTCTTCTTGGCTTGGTGATGCGAGACGAGTGTGCTGCTGTAGCTTGGAAAGACATGTTTCAGGTTTCGCTCTCCAATAGGAACAAGTAACACGAACAGTCAGTCAGGAGGGATATGCTCCTTGCGCTTGAGTTGCAGATAAGGAAAGAGCATCATGGCAGCGCAGTAAGAGCATGTCTTGATATTGACGAATCAGGAAGTGGCAAACATGTGAGACGCGGTGTCGAAGGCTTTGAGACCGCGGTGGAGCATGCGCCACACCCTCGCTTGCTGGCTAGGTAGGAGCGAGCAGCTGGCATGGAGAAGGAACGACGGGGTCATAGAGAATCGCGTAATCTGTCTGCATCGAGCGAAATGAATGAAAGCGACGGATCATTAGAGGCGTGTACTCTGTAATTGATGGATCAAAATGTTGAGAGGTGGCTGTTGATGTTCCTGTTTGTCGGCTTCCTGGCGATGCCGGGCCGTGGAAGGAACCACGCAGCCACCGAGGTACGTCATTTCCACGCGCGGAATGTCAGGAAGGTCCAACGCACGCTATGCGCGCCAACAAAACCCAAAACATGCCCATTGCACCCACCCTACGAAGCATCTCCCCCCAACTGCTCCCGTCCCAGCCCATCGCTAGCCATGTCGCTGAATCCCGAGCCCTCGGCGCCTGAAGAGCGGGCTGAGCACCATCTGCCGCCCAAGTCGTACGCCGACGCCGCCGAAGAGGCCCTGGAGCCCCAGCAGCCACAATCACATGCCAACGGCACCGACGGCACCGCCGAACACCACGGGAAGAAGATACTGGGCAAGGCCAACGAGGTAAAGACCAATGGCATCAAGGTCCCCTCTGAAGAAGACAAGACATCGCTCGAAGGCGTGGGCCAGGAGCCCCGGAGTCCAACAGTGAAGGGCCATCGTCGCGTCTCATCGCGCGGCTCTCACGGGTCGCTCGGCCGCAAACAGGGCGAGCAGGCGCAGAAAGACATGAACGGAGCACACACGAATGGAAATGGCAAGGGCAATGGCGACGTGCTGACGAGTGTGAAGCCGCAGCAGGAGTTCCAGGTCGCCAAAGCAGACCGCAGAACCGACCTCAAGCGCAGAAACTCGGAGCTCACCACAGGACGGCAGGCTGGTGCGGGATGGTCCCAGAGCAAGTAAGTTTGCGTGCACTCCGTTCAAGGCGTACAATGCTGACCGTCGCAGAATACGCTTCGCGCCCATGAACGTTCCCCTCCAGCGCCGCCTCCAGACCCTCGCCGTCCTCATGCACACGCTCAGCATCGTCGGCGGCCTTGCCATCTTCTTCTTCCTATGCAGCATACCCCTGCTCTGGCCCATCCTCCTGCCGTATACCATCTACGTCCTCTTCTCCAACGCGGGCACGTCGGGCGAGCTGTCGTTCCGCAGCGACTGGTTCCGCCGGCTGCCCGTCTGGTCGCTCTTCGCTTCATACTACCCCGCCCGCCTGCATCGCTCCCAGGAGCTGGAGCCTACTAGGAAGTACATCTTCGGCTACCACCCACATGGCATCATCTCCCATGGCGCCTTCGCTGCCTTTGCAACCGAAGCCCTTGGCTTTTCGCAGCTCTTCCCTGGCATCACCAACGCCCTGCTGACCCTCGATTCCAACTTCCGCTACCCCATCTATCGCGAATACGCCCTTCGTCTCGGCATGGCCTCCGTATCTCGCGAGTCCTGCGAAAACATACTCTCCAAGGGCGGTTATAACAACGAAGGCATGGGCCGCGCCATCACCATCGTCGTAGGCGGCGCACGTGAATCCCTCGATGCGCGCCCCGGTTCCATAAAGCTCGTCCTCAACCGCCGCAAGGGCTTTGTCAAGATGGCCATACGCACCGGCGCCGACCTCGTCCCTGTCCTCGCCTTCGGCGAAAACGACGTCTACGACCAACTCGATACCGACTCGCATCCCTACATACACAAGTTCCAGATGCTCGTCAAGAAGTTCATGGGCTTTACGGTACCCATCTTCCACGCGAGGGGAGTCTTCAACTACGACGTAGGCATGATGCCGTACCGGAGACCCATCAACATCGTTGTCGGTCGCCCGATCAGGGTGATGCAGGACACGCACCCAGACAACGATTACATCAACGAGATACATCAGCAATACGTCGACGAGCTGATGCGCATCTGGCACGAACACAAGGACACTTTTGCCAAGCACAGGACGGGCGAGCTGGAGATCGTCGAGTAAGCATCGCTGAGCTGCTTTCCTTGTAATGGCTGTCACGATGCTGTTCTTTCCCTTCTGCGTTGTATTGTGTATTGGATAGTAATTGGCTAGAGCCTGGAAGGCGCAGACACGAAATAGCAGTCATAACCCTTTGAATAGCAATGATAGATCACCACCATCAGCATTCCCATTGACCCTTGGCATGGTGTCATGACAAACGCAAACTCGCCTTACATGAAGTCTCAGGCAATGTCACTGTGCAAGTTGATCAGGTTGAGACATGAACGTTTCTTGAACTTCTAAATCGATATTCCAGAGTAATAACTACAACGAAAAAGACCGCAAAGGAAAAGCACAACTGTGTACGACAAAAAAAAACACGAAATAAACGCCACCCAGCATTAAACGTTTTCTGGGTATTGCATGTCCCAGTCAACCAACAGAGCTTCGGTCATCAGTCTGTTGAGAAGTGGCTCATGCGTGCCGAAGGATGCGTGTCCTTCCTATCCTCATCGGTAGAGAACGCCTTCAACTTGTACTCCATGACCGTCGTGGAAACACCTTTACCCTTGTCGTTGCTGGGGCGGCCGCTACTCGGGGTACTTCCATTGAGGGTACTACCATCGGAGGCACGGTTACCTAAGCCGTTCTCCGCATCACCGCCGTCCTTCTTGTCGTCCGCAGTGGCGTTGACAGCGCGGCCAGTAAAGAGGTCCTCCGGGAAGGGGAACAGCGTGCGACGTCTCGGTGGCGACTTCTTGGTTGCTGTCATCCATACCAAGGCCGTCATGTCTTTACCCAGCGCCTCGATGATGGGCGTGACAATGGGGAGGCAGGCGAAGAGCACACCGTAGGATGTTATGCCGACAATGGTTACGTTGATGCCGTAGCTGAATCCGCGCTCGGCTAGTGCGACCATGAGCCAGGATCCGTAGGTCCAGAAAACAAGACCGTGGAGCAGGTAGATGGTGAAGACGTGGGGGAAGAGGACGAGGAAAGGAGGCGTGGAAAGGACCCATTGTACCGCGGCGGAGAGTTCGACAATGGCTTGCATGCCGCCTGCGAAGAGAACACCATTGAGACGCGGCGTGTAGTATGGCGGGTAGCCTGCCTCATCTGTGTCCTGAATGACTACACCGGTTACAGGATCGGGGTGGATGCCGCGCTCCGCAGTCGAGAAGTTGAAGTCCGTGTCGACCCAGTTAGGAATAACGTTGACGGCGAAACTGGCGCCGACGCAGGCCCAGAAGAAGGTGATGGTGGCGTAGTATGCTCCTGGTCGTGTGGCCAGGAACGCTTTCCACTTGTAGGTCACGTCGAGGTCGGTGAGGAGCAGACCGAGCCAGAGGTATGTACCCCAAGACTGAGCGTACCAGTGGTTGATTAGGCAGAAGGCGTAGTAGCACATGCGCTTCCATGGTGTCTTGATCTCGTAGACCACGACAGCACCGAGAAGGACGAGCCAGGAACCTTGGAGTTGCACAGCGATGGTCCAGAGGACACCGGTGCAGTAGTGCAGAGTGATTTGCGGGACGGCGTTGGGGACGAGGAACATGAGTTCGAGAACTTCAGAGATGTACTGGCCGAAGTTGTTGTAGCGGCTCACGTAGGGCCAGGTCGACCAGGTCAGCGAAGGAATGTATTGCAAGAACTTGGTCGCGCCAACGTCAATGAAGAAGTATTCCAGCAGGGCCATCGAAGCGACAGGAATCATAAGACGGGGTGTTCGGCGTACGGCTGCCTTGGCGATCTCATCCATCTTGCCCTTGCGCAAGTAAGGTGCGGTCAAGAAACGGACGGAGGTTGTGAAGAAGACACCAAGCCACATCTGGTTGAGCAAGAACGGACCGATGATTCTCTGGGCCCATGGCTCAGATGCGTTGTGTGCATCTGCACCAGGTGTGACGATAGCAGGGACGAAGGTAAGACCAAAATGCATCAGGGTGACCACGAGAGAGCAGAGCGCCGTCAGACCAGCAAGATGGTCGATACGTTGTCGCTGAGGCAGAGGCTGGGGGCGCATACGAGGAGCTGGTAGGGCGGACTCGGTGACGGTCTCCATTGTAATCTTGTCATGGGGAGCGATCATGGGAACGGATGGGGTCATGGTGGCGCGCGGGTCCATCAAAGTGAGCATGGAGTTGCGATCTCTTGAGATGGCTGTGCCTGGAGTGCCTGGGGTCATCATCGATGCGTGAGGATCGACCATAGTCAACATGGAGTCGCCTCCTCTTGAGACTGCCGTTCCTGGCATCGGTGGCATGGGTATGTAGAGATCCTCGCGCGTAGTGTTGAAGTTGCTGTTGAAAGGAGTTGGCCCACGGCTATCGAAGAATACCGAGTTTGGTCTGGAGAGACCATCCTTGGGTGTAGAGCCACCGAGAGTCGAGGTACCGGGGAGCCTCTCGATCGCCATGTCGTCGTCGTCTGAGTTGCGCTTTTCGGAAGCGGAGGGAGTTTTCTGGTCGGCACCACCACGAGAGAAGATCTCGTGCGAAGCCACTGTGAAAGTACTGTCGCTGAACGGATTCTTCTTTTCGTCCTCGGACTCTTTCGGCTCTGTGGAGGAAGCTGGGGTAGGTTTCGGGGCTTCACTCTTGAGCTTGGGAGCGAGACGTCTGATGAGGGCGTGGATGATAAGGACGGTCGAGAATATGATGCATGACACGGAGAGCCAGAGTGCCGGCATGCGCCTGATGTCTTTGCCCTTGTACTGCTCCCATTTGTCTGTTGCGTCATCACCATACGGTGTGGAACCACGGAGTTCAATGTCGTCCATCGAGCACGCATCGGTCAACGGGCACCTGGCGACAAAATCCTCGCGAGCATCTACGCTCATTGTAGAAGAGTTGAAGAACATGCGGA